TGTCATGAGAAGTTGTGCACTGAAAGTATTAAAACATAGTTTTTTCTTTTTCTTGTCCTTACATGCAAATGTCACTTTCTCCTCACACATTTCTTGTTCTGGACAAATTCCAAGGCTGCTACATGTGATGCAATTTATGTCATATAAATGTGTTATTGGGATTGTGTGAAAATAGTATCGTGTAAGACCTTGAAAGATTTGTTATTGAATTTGATTTTTTTAAGGCTTATATTTCACATCATTTTGATGGCTTCCTGTTAAACAGCCTGCTATATTTATGCTGTAAGAGATCAAATGTTAAAAAAATATATATATATATCTTATTAAACGATTCAGCATTTTTCCAGGCTTTTTTTCCCTTTATAGTTAAAAATTGTAACATATTGTAGAGTATCTTGCGAAATACATTGAGTTAGTCTGCCTCCACAACTTTGCATACAGCGTCTTTGTCACATGTCAGTACACTCAGGACTGTGTAATACCATTTGAATACTTCTCAACTGTGGACACTGGCACTTCCAGACATTCCTTTTCACGGTGTTAGGGAGATCTTGGTGCTCACGACTCGGCATTGTCTCGCTAAAACGTAGTGATGGGCTTCCCCTGCTGCCAACGTGTTTGCCTTGGCCTCCTTTCAAGTCTGCTGTTGGACTGTTGAGGGCTCCAATAGTTTAGATCGCTCCTCCTTTCTTTAGCAGAGAGCTTCAGCAGAATAATGTCGTGAGAATCTCAATGAGGCCCAGAGGGATCAAACTCGAGTGAGGAAGAAGATGCCACATTAACTTGTTTGTAATGTTTTGTTTTGTTTTTCTCTCTCCGAAAGTCGAGTGAGACAGTTTGAGGGATGATGTCCACAGAAAGTTGTAATACCCACATCAGAGAGCTGTTATGTTGAAACATTGTTTACTATGTGACTTAGTCCCTTGTCTTAAGTCTGGCACTGTGACATTTTGCTGTGAGCTATTTTTGCGCGATGAACTTGGCACCACAGAACGACACACAAACACACACATCAGTTTTAAAGTCTCTTTGTGCCCAACCCTGGTCTGTCCCCACACTGACATACTATAGGGGACTTTAAATAGACTGTGCTGCTATGTGCACTTATTATGTGTGACTATCTTCTTAAAGCCTCAACTAAAGAGCAGGCTGGATTAGTATTACTTTTTAAATCTGTATCCTTATTATCTTAAAGTGCATTAGATACATTGTATATAAATTTTCTAATAAGCTGATGGGTTATCGGGGTCATTCTCAAATTGACGTAACAGTTTTTGTAAAGTAGGTAAAATCCTGGCTTTTTAAGCCATTCTTGAACGCTCGCTCATTGATTTATTGTTTATGATTAACAAAGTGTTTAGATTTTATGGTTTTTGGGGAGACGCCCCAGTTGATTCAAAACAAAACAGTAAAATGTGTTTTGGCTGAACTGGCTTAAAGGCAGTGGTTTGTGGCTTTCTTTCCCACAACAAACACAAATGTTGGACGTGCTGGCTCTGTTTCAGATGAATACTTTGGACTGAATGCTTTCAGTTATAACAGGCAGCGATAAATTTTAAAAAAAAAAAAGTTCTTGAGCACACACAGAAACCTACAGTAATTTGTTTGCATTGGCTTGTTTGCAGATGTAGTTCTGGTGAGTGCTGGCTACTGCTTTTCTGTGTCAGATAAGTTTTACAGCTTAGCTTTGATTTCCAGAACTTCCATCTTTTATTTATAGCCGCGTACAGCGGAGTGTTCCTAATAAACTTCGAGTTTCATTTTGTTACAAACACACGTTGTGTTTGAGGTCTCCGTTTATTTTTAAACAAGTGTTTCTGTGACAGTGATGCTTTAGGATGGTTCACTGTTAATGATTATGGTTCAATCACTACTAAAGTCTGGTCTGGCCAAACTTCTTTTTCATTTTTTCCTTTATAAAATCACTGACATTAAAGGTTTTGTGTGTTTGTGTCTGAGATCCATCATTTAGAAATCACAGGGTCTTTGTGTCTGGGGTTGCACAAAGTGACACTGGCTGTAATAAACTATGACATCTGTCACAGCAGCGAGTGGGTGAGTTAAAGAGAAGCTAAAAAAGAGCAACACATGGAAAATACTAATGCAGCTGTTTGAATTGTCGTGTTTTCACTGAGTGCATTTAGACTCAGACTATCAAAACTATCATTGCTGTGTAGTTGCATTTTTATTTCCCAAAAAAAATCTGTTTCCTTCTCCGAGGCAGGCCTGTCATGTAGTATTAGTTTGCCAGGTAAACACATCAGACGTGCGTCTGGTGCCCTTTTGCAGTGAGCTGCGTGTGTTGCAGTGGAGTGGAACTGTATAAGTGGGTAATGAGGCTGTAACCCTCAAGGCTGCTGTGTGTGTGGGACGAAGCCAAACAGTCACTTCAAAAGTTAATACTTTGTCAAATGATGCCAGGACACTGGGCACTTCCATGCATGTGCACTCGACTCGTTCTCCCGTTTAGCTTGGAGCAAGTTACATGTGCTCATGTTTTTGCGTGTCAAGACCCAGGGAGCGGGCTTTACAATCATCTGGGAGTTGGATTTCCTATTTAGAACTGCGTGATGGCAGTAATACTCTACCTTTTATCCCTGCCTTATATTGTTATTGTAAAGCTACATTTTTCTGTAATTGTACAGTGTCTTTTTCTTTCACCTCTCTTTTCTTAACCCTTGCCTTTATTCCCACTTATTTCAATCAAGCGTGACCTTTGCGTGTGCTTTTCATGTCAGAAACTTTGACACGTAATTGAACTTGATTATATGGTAATGGTGGGTGGCATTCCTCGCAGGTCTCGATGACTGTGATAGTCTTGCTTTAAAGAGCCAACAATGATGAGATGAGTGGCATGTCAAAGTGTTTGGCGTGTCCGCTGGTGGACTCGTGTAAGCTCCAAAGAGATTTCGAGGGATTTTCAGTCATGTCTACTTTTCTACTAAAACCCTTTATCAGTTCTCACGATGTTTATGCTTTAAGGTTGTGTGCACTCATTTCTTTGCATTTAAAATATAAAATGAATAAAATGGGTCTTGAAGGTCATTTGGAATATATGCATCTTCTTACAATTGCTGCCACACTTTTTCATGTGTCGGGTCATTTTAAAACGACTGTTGATTTTGATCTTGTTGCTTCCTTGTTCTGCAGGATGCCAGCTACTGGCTGCAGGTTCACCGGTTGGAGCACGGTGATGGGGGAATCCTCGACCTGGATGATGTGCTTTGCGATGTGGCTGATGACAAAGACAGGGTGAGTAATGTCTGTTCATGAAGATTTTTTTTTCTGTTTTCCAAGGCACAGGAAGTGCTCACTGACCAGACAGATAAGAGAATTTGTTGTGCACCAAAGCGCCTCTTATCGGTTCCTGGATTTTCATTAATGCCGTCATCAACCATCTCTTTAATCAGTTAAACACTCCCCATATATTT